AATTTCTCTGAAGGAGTAATCCCAAGGGATAAATAAAGTTGAGTCTGAGTCTAAGCCTAAGTCTACTTTAAATGTTCCTCATCCACGTTAACCTGAGATGTTTAACTACAATAAATACTTTCTTTTTTAATCAGTGTCTTAGCCAAGTGGACAATAGATTGTAAGTGAATCCATAGACTTCCCTTTCATCTACCACATGTGTAGAAAATGAACATTTTGGTGAGAATAAACCGCTGCAGGACTTCTGGAGCCTGAATGTTACATATGGTCTCTATAAATGTTTTGAAAGCTACATTAATTGTAGCGCAGTTTAACATTCATCAGCAATGTGACCTTTGTGGTGAACACTGGTGCCTGTGTTTAGTCTTCCGTATTTAATGTTTCCATTCTGCCAACTTTTTGGCCTCTTGGCAGCTTTAATGCTTTTTTTTTCATATTTCATGAATTTGACCTTAAAAATCAATATAAGTATAGTGATACAAGCTGTAAAAATCAAAGAGAAGAAGAAGAAAAAAAAACTGATATGTGCAATTCAATGTGAATATTGAGCTGTGTTCTCCTTTATTCATGCTCTGTTTTCTGTGTATGTCCTCTGCTTCTGAAATTTTTTATAGTAAACAATGCGTAGCAGCTCTCACCAATGTCACAGTTGCGCCCTTTGAAACCCTCCTGGCAATCACACTTATACTCGTTTGGCTCTGTGTTGGTGCAGGTCCCACCGTTTTTGCAGGGCTGGTGTGTGCCACAGTAGTTCAGATCTGAAAACACGAACACATGTTTTTACAAAAGCGCATAATATTACTGCACAAATCGAAAAAAAACTCTTAAACTGAATTCATGGAGGTGCTAAGATAAAGACCTTTTTCATTTCATTCTTTTTTAAGCTTCAGGGCTTTTTGTTTCCCATCTTAAGGAAGAATAAAGTAACATCTTCCCTCATTATTTTCTTTGTTTTAAAGGTTTCTCTGTTTCACTGTAATTTTTTAAGGTGTTCATCTGAATTAACCACACCTAGCAAAGAGCACTAAGCTTTGAGTCTCTCACAATCTTTTTACCCAAGGCTATCGCCTTTCCTCTCCACAATACTTTGTCCCCTAGGCGCACGTTTGACTCCCAGCTCCCACTTTGGGACAGAGGATCTAAGTTTTCTATATTCTGCCCGGGAAATGTTAGAGGAAGGAGGGTGAAGCCCTCAGGTACTTTTTTTTATCTTCTTCATCCATAAGTCATGTGTGAAGAACCACGCCTGAAAAACTAAGAGCACACCGTTTTTTTCCCCCTCCCAGACAGGCAAGATTATTCATGGTCAACATTCAAAGCTCTGTAAAGCTTTATACCTATTTATATGATTTATGTTTATTTCAGGCCTGAAGAACCATATTTGTGTGAAATACAGAATCTATAATAAACAAAAAAGGTGTACGGCTTATCAAAAAGATCTTAAAGAAGAGTAAAAGTTATAGGAAGTAATAAAGAAATATTCATTAGGTGGCAAAGTCCTACACCATTTAGCAAAACAAAAAGAAATCAGAAGTGCAGTAAGAATAATTACATCTGAAACTGGTGAAAAACAAGCATTTCAAGAAAGGAGAAGCTAGAATGCACAGAGTTAAAAACTAGAACCAGTAAAAGAGTATTGACATGCAGGTGGTGCAGTGGTTAAGAAAGAGTATTATAGAATACATAGTTTATAAACAGCTATGATTTGAAAAGCACTCTATTTTTTCATAATTTGGTCGAAAGTCCTTTCAATAACATTACAGACTGGTATTTTCTCACGTTGTGTGAGGCAGAGGGAAAACCAGGACTTCCTCTATTGGTTGCTGCGCACAGCTGGGCTGATCTCTAAAAGAGAAGACAGCCACTACTTATAAACTATGTGAAAAAGTACATTAATATGTGCCATAATGTTTGAATATTTTCACGACACCAGAAACAAATTTAGGTTTTCTTTTTAAAAAGGCTAAGGCATTAGTTGTGGAGCAAAAATGCTGACATGTAGTTGGGATGAGCACAGTGGATGTTTAATAATAAAAGAGAAAACCTACAGATGTGAAACAAGGTGAGCATGACATGGTGTAGAGATGTGTGCAATAAGCACTTAAAAAAACTCAGAACCTAAAAGCAGAGGCAGAGTTGGAAAATGAAGAAGGAACCAGAAAAGCAATCAGAGCACATGTGGAGCAGCTGGCAGCAGTAAAATAGAGAAGCTGACAGAGGGAAGGCGAAAACAAAAAAACACAAAGGGAGCTGAACAAATAGGGAAAGACACTATTAATCAAGGGTAAAAGACTAACAACTGAGAAAGAAAAAAAATCCATTTGGTCACAGAACAGAATTAAAAAATAAACTAAGACTCTCTACCAAAAAACGCACCATTTAGAAAAAGATTATTAGAATCCAAAGTTTACAACCAAATACATTTATCATTAGTAATGTTGTTTTGTTAAAGGGACCGATTTACATACTTTGACTTACACAGTATCTAATGAGTATGATATTCGCCATTTAAAATTAGTAATATAAGCTGCTAGCAGATGGTGTACAACAATATTCATGTATACTGTTTGCGCCCAGGGCAAAAATTATTTTCATGCTTAAAGGGACTAAATAAACACTATCAGGATAAACAAGTATATTTAAATTTTTTTTTTCTTTTTACATGAATTAGCATATTACTAGAGCTAAGAACCTCATACCAACCAAACCCCAGTAGAAACAATGATAAAGATAAGACATCACAGAACAAACTATGTGGAGGCACTTAAAGCCTTCAACCAAATTTCTTCTTATGCAGCTTCATCAGGTATATTGCAAAAATTTATTCATATGTTGGATTGCATAGCTTTACTGGAGCTTAATATTACTATACACTCCTCTCCAGAATCTCTATTCAGTTAACCAATAATGTTAACTTTAAGAAATTAATAAAAGAGAATTTTTTTTATTCAAAATTTTTTTTCTCAATAAAATGTTTTATCACATGGTGGGTTGGTCTGTACAGAGGATTGAATGGATTAAATACATAATGTAAGGTTAATGTGAATATCAAACGAGATTGTGCTCTTGTCAGGTTGAGTGGAGGTTCCAGAGATGGAAGCCCAGGTGGTTTCTTGCAGGTTTACTAATCCAAAAGTTGGCAACAGAAGCAAAAATCCAAATTAACAAAATACAGAAACCTGAAATCCAGGAGACTTCAGGGGGAAAAACACAAGGGGCAAAGAATCGAACAGGAGGTGTATAAATGGGAGACAGAAACAATAGGAGGACTAATTGGCAGACAAGGAACAGGTGTGGGAAGAAAAATCTAGAAGGGAGCTGAGAGAAGGAGATTGACACAAGAGGGCAACAGAGGGTTAACAAGAAAACATAAGAACTAAAATATAACCAAAAAGAACTAGAATAAAACTAAATGGAAATAACACCAATGAAAACTCAAAAAGAAAACTTAAACAGAACCAAAACCATGACAGCTCTAACTACAGTAGATGAACAAAGTAACTTTTACTTTTGGTGGTCATTGAACATGGCTGGCTGCTGTTTGTAACTAACTTTGACTTTTATTTAACATTTCTGTATATTATAAGTGCAGTGATGTATTGGTGTGTCTTCTTATCGCAGAAAGAAGGACCATGCATCTATTTAAACAAAACTATGCAGGGTATGGTTTAAAAATGTTCTCAGCACCTATAGATACTTCAAACTTTGTTTACGCAAACAAAACTGCTTAAATATTTTGTATGTCCCACCTTTGTCACACAGAAGGCCTCCCCAGTTGACGTCACACACACATTGCCAGGGCTCGGTGCAGCTCCCGTACACACAGCCTGGAAACGTCACACACTGATCACACAGAGGACCTTTCCAGCCGTAATGACACCTGAAACATAAACAGATTGCATGATTTATCAGATATATTACCCAGACATAATGTGTTATTGAAGATAAAATGTACCACCTACAATATTTAAACCAATTCAAATATCTTTGCACTTTGCTTCTAAGCAACCAGATTTAAACGTTGGCTTTTAAAATGGATTTGATTTACAGTTTTCTTGGCTTATGAATGTTTCTCAGAGTTTTTTATACACCCAGATTTTTTTTTTCTGTCAGATTTTCATTGTAGTTTATTTTATGTAACATGTTGAGGAGTGCTGCTCAGTGGCGGCCCAGGGTCTTTCTGCATGGAGTTTGCATGTTCTCCCTGAGCTTGCATGGGTTCTCTCCGGGTACTCCGGCTTCATCCCACAGTCCAAAAACATGACTGTTAGGTTAATTGGCTTCTCTAAAGTCCCCTTAGGTGTGAGTGTGTGTGTGAATGGTAGTTTGTCCTGCTTGTCTCTGTGTTGCCCTGCGATGGAATGGCAACCTGTCCAGGGTGTACCCCGCCTGTCGCCCGTAGACAGCTGGAGATAGGCACCAGCACCCCTCGTGACCCCACTTGGGATAAGTGTGTAGGAAAATGGATGGATTGACGTTGAGGAGTGATTATAAAGACGAGGAAAAGCAGGAAATGTTCAAAAAGACATGCTGCGAAAGTCTGGAGATCAAAATCACTCTAAAATATACGAGAAACTCTGACTGCCAGGTAGAGCTGGATAGAGTAGCCAGGTACAGTACTTGATGTGAGGTCATCACTACTAAAACATTTAAGTAGACGATATAGCTGAGTAAAAATAAAGCTAGATCCACTTTTTTTTCCCGAAGAGTTTCTCATGGAAATTTAACTAGTTGCTACTTATGTCTGCTGATAGGCAATAATCTATTAATAAATTAGGGGAGATTTATTTCATTTATTCCAGCAGTTTTAGAGGAGCTTGAGTATCAGAGTGAAAATACAAACCAATGTTTTTAGGGGATTCAGTAACTTACTTGCATTCTCCAGGCACAGTACAAAAACCGTGGTTCTGATGGCATCCCTGCCTGCACACCGCTGTGAAGCAAGCACACACAAAAAAATTATTCACTTCAAAAAACTTTAAAGATTACTTTTTAGCAACGAAATATGTTCACATATGGAACTTATTTATTGCCCCTTTAATGAAAGGGGTCATTAAAGACAAACATTCAGAGTTAGTAGTGAGCTAGCTTAGAAATGCCCACATAGTGATTTGTTTCTGAAGACTAAAAAAATCCCTTCATAGACACGATGGGTAACATGCAGGAGGTAACGGGGGGAATGAATCTTTCAACTTCCTGCTTCTGTGTGGTCCAATCAGCACCATGCTGAGGAGGAAGGCAGACTGAGTGAGACGGGCGAGGTGGGCAGAGCTGCAGGATGTCCTCAGACTAGCAGAGTGTCCTTCCCTAGTTTCCACTTTGGTTTCCTCCATTCACTCTTACTAATGCAAAAAGTTGACAACGTCAAGAGGTCACAGAGACGGGTCATCCATCTGATGAGTCATGGTGTACAACATCCCACATCATTGTAATTCACTGATGTAGAGAAGAGTGTGATACTTCAATGACATCAGCAGGAGCAGTCATTCATGGGGCTGGAGCTCCCTTTGTTGCAAGACTATAGGACTTTAAACTAAGATTGAGGGTTTTTTGAATAAAATCAGACTTGATTCCACTCTGCACAAGTCAGATATTAAAAAGATAAATATTATTTTATTGTGTTTAATCAGAGTCCAAAGGCTTTCCTCATGGAAATGAAATAGAGTAACATTACTATTCTCACAGAAGACCTTTTTTTAAAAGATTACTAAAAAGGAACCATAATTCATGAATGACAGGGGAAAAGAAAATGTTAATACATTTAAACTAAAACCAAACTTCTGCTTTACCCTCTTTGCACTCTGGTCCTGTCCAGCCTTCCATGCAGACCTTGGTGCCACTGGGGTCACAGCTGAAGTGGCCAAAGAAGTCATCTCTGGCTCGGCAGAACTTGTTGCAGAAAGGCCCGTAGTAATTAGAGTCACAGCGGAAGCGAAGCCAATACTCCAGGCTAAGGATCTGTCCATGATGACGGTATGTCTGCCACTGTTCACCAGGATTCAGCATGGAGGAGAGGAGGACTCGCTCAATCAGCTGACCTGAAGGAGGACGGAACAGAAGAAAATCTCACTCATCCAAACATCTTTATTCTGAGGCACCAGTGTCATGATCTATAGTTTAGACTTCATGATATAGAAACAAAGATAGAGCTAGTGAATTTCTCCACTGTGAGATCAGTAAAGTCTTTCTTTTCTATGAAGAAAAAGTGGGGAGATGTTTGGGAGAGTCAAAGAGACACTCTCAAGGCTAACACAGCTAAACCAGCTGTTAAGTATCGTGGGGGAAGAAATGATAAGATCTATTTTGCTGCTGTGCTACTCTGGCATCTTACAGTTGGGGAAATAAAGAAAAGGAAGGCCTAAATTCACATGCATTAATCTGTGCTCAAATCAGCTGCGACTCTGCTGAAAGCTGGACTCAGTTCGTTGGTCCAACATTACAACTAGCCCAAGTACAGACTAAAACCAGGGATCTTCAACCCAAACCCTACAACGTATTTATAAACTATGCTGAAAAGCTTGGTCTGCATCAGGACATCAACCATTAAAAACAAACTCTACAATTTCTCCCAATAAGAGTCATCAAGTGTCCTATTAGAAACTGGTTGGTGGTTGCAAAAGGTACACTGTCAATTAACCAAAAATGATTTGGTGCATTTAAATATTTTTTAAAGTGGGGTAAAATGTTTCATCTACGAGGGTTAAAGAAAATTAACAATAAATTAAAACTTATGTGCCAAATTTTTTCTATAAAACCGTTAAAGTTGTATGCTGTATCATCATAAGCCTGCTCTGAACTTTACTTCTATTTACTGTCCTTCCAAAAAACCAGGTGTTGATCGAAGAATCTTGGTGATTTCTAAGGCTCTTTGAAAGTTTTATCCTGACTTTAATTGTTTTTTCTTTAATCAGTAAACATAACAAGGCTTACGAACCCAAAGGAAACAATGCATGATATTGTATTAGCAAGTAAACAACTATAAAGGGGAACTTTTGATTCAATAATATTTTAATCACCACTTTATAGAAATAAATTGTTGTTATCAGTATTGTAGGGTTATTTTCAGCAAGTTCTCTATGTTGCTAGCAGTCAACATAAACACTGTCTTGCAGCAGATCTGGTAAAGCTTTTGATTGTCAGTCTTCTGAAGAGGATGTTTGTGGTTGTCCACACTGTTCTTCATTTCATAAAGATTTCATCATTGTGAAATTCTTCTTTATTAGCTTGTCGAGTTTCTTGAAACCAACCAGATGATGGCAGAAGTGGACACACTCTCCACAACAGACTGAGAGAAGATATGCAGCGTCTTGATGCAAACACTGCAGGACTTACATTTCCTTAAGAAGCACAGTTTGTTCTGTCCTTTCTTAATAGCAGACTTAAAGTTAAGCTCCAAGTGAGTTTGTTGTCCAGGTAAAAAACAAACTATTTATACCCTTCCACCACCTCCACTTCTTCTCCCATGATGGTAACAGGATTCAACTGGTCCTTGTTTCCTCTGAAATCTACCATCTTGTTTTATTGATATTCAGGATTAGATGATTGTTTCCACACTATGCCACAAATTGATTCACCTGGTCCCTGTACTCAGCTTCTTATCCACCTTTGATGCACCCAACAACTAAAGAGTTATCTAAGTATTTCTGCAGATGACAGGACTCTCTCCGGTAATGAAAGTCAGAGGTGTATAGAGTAAAAGAAAAGGTGAGATTCCCGTCCTCTGTGGTTCTCCTATGCTGCTGACAACCTGGTTAGACATTTGAGCATTCAGCCTCACAAACTGTCATCTTTTTGTCAGGTAGTTTTTGATCCAGGTGATTACTGTAGATTGAAGTCTGTCTCTACTCATGCCCCTGCAGCTTTAGCTGTTAAGTAAACTTTTGATCATACAAATATGTTTCCTCTGATTTGAAGAACTCTCAGCGCTGTGTAGATATTATAAGTAGAATAGAAAAAAATGAAACTTTCTTGCATGAATTCCACTTGACACAGAGAAGAAGAGAGGAGAGAACAACAGAAAGGGCTGTATGAGCCCCCGGGCAACACTGGAGCAAAAGCCGCCACTTCTGACCCCTGGAGGGGCTTTCCCAGTGGCACTATTATTCCCTCACTCAGTTATAATGCTCCCTGACAGGGTGTTAACATTCAACAAAAGTGGGAATATGTGCTTCAGTGTATCCTATACGTGTCTATATAAGAGATAATGAGAAAAATTGGATGGCTGGGTGATAGTTGCACAGAATAGGAAGACCTACTGAAGGAAAGTTAGAGTAGAGTGTGAGTTTTTGTACTTAACTCAGACAGCCAGAGGCAAAAAGATCCAGAGACTCAGCAGCTGTTAGCACACACATAAACTGCCTGATGGAGAGATGAAATCACTGAGGCAATGAAAAAAAACATTCAGGCGGGCTTCACTGTGAGTGTGAACTGAATTCTCCAGTGCCTGCAGTCAAATAAGAGAGTCCAATACTCCACGCGTCAATCAGGTTCAGTGCACCTCTGGTTTTACCACATTTTATAATATCGGAAATGTCAAAGGGTTAATTTTATCATTATTACTTCTCCACTAGATAAGATGAAAAAAATTATATAATTAGGACCCGACACAGTGGGAAAATGGTGTACAACACAGTATGATTTTCTTTGTATTGTAATTAGATCAGACTGCTTAATAACAAACAAGCTCCTTCAGGTAGGGATGTTGAAACAGCAGGTAGAAGAAGCGATAATCCTCTGTGGCAATCAAACTTTACAGATATATGATAACGTGTGTGTCTGCAGGTAGTAAAAACTCTTAAACTGCTCCTCCTGCTCTTAGCCTTTTGCCCTTGGAAGTGTCTGAGATATACCCGCAGGAAAGAAAACACCCGCGTTCACTCTTTATTCCAGATCACCTGTGAACAAATCAATACACCTGAGGACGCAGATGGATCAGACGATATTGTTTTGTCCCACTCTATTCGATGTAGGCAATTCATGTGAGAGCTTTCTTTTCAGTTTAGCCTATCTCATTAATATTATTCTCACGTGAGCAAAGGCAGTCACACTAAACCTGTTTTCTGAATGCTATAGACAAGCTGATCTAAATTAGAAAACTTCCAATATTGGATTTAAGTTTCTTTTCACAGCTTTGTGCCAGCAAGCTCTGCATCAATAGTGTTCAAATCTATTTGAATGCAGCAGAAAGTCTGCAGGCAAACAAGTACAGTAAAGAAAATTCAGTCAATCTTAACGCAAGACAGGAGGTAGTTTAGAGGAGCAGTCTGTACATCCATACAGTACAGTACCAACATTATCTTGAACTTGAACTGATATTGACAAAATTTTCCAATTTCATCAAATAAACAAAAAAAAAACTTAGAAGAAATCCTAGGCCAAATAAATAATTTCTCCTGCTGTCTCAATGCTTTACCCACTGCCTTCCTTAAGAAAGCTCTGCCTGTCATGACATCTGATTTAACTCAAATAATAAAAACGCCTTTTTTGTCAGGTGCTTTTCCCCAGACCCTAAAAAAATTATCTATCAAGTTGCTGTTGAAAAACAGCGACTTTCAGAAGCTGCTGCTGCAGAACTAGAGGCCAATGTCAAACCTCATTTTAAAAGGTAAGGTTGTTAGAAAAAAAGCTGCATTTCAACAATGAGATGCCACTTTGATGTCTCCCAGTCAGGCTTCCATACTCACCACAGTACAGAGACTGAACTTTCCGTATATATCCAGTGAGGAAGAATCAAAGTGCTGTTATTATAGAAACTTTAGTTTAGCTTTAGTTCTCAACTGTTTAAATACGACTTGAAGGAGAGAGACTGTTTTTTGTGACAGTTGGTAACTTTACATCAGAGACCACAACAATCACATGTGGTGTTGCCAGAGGATCTTATTCAATATCTCCTAACTTAGATCCTAATAAACAACAGCTGAAATGACCATAATTAAGTGGACATCACACAGCTGTACATTATGATGTCTTCAGATGACTATGAATCAACTTAAGTGCTGGTTAAATGAACAGAAGAAATCAGCAGATGGCTGCTTTCCACTTTTCCACAGTTTAGATTAGGGCTGAATGATTTTGCCAAAAATCAAAATTGTGATTATTTTTCACCAATATTGCTAATATGATTTTATTTTAATGTCCCTTTGCACTTACCCCAAGCTTGTAGGCTTACACTTATACACAACTACAGGTAAACTAACAGTAAAAAAGTTTTAAAATACCTGGAAATGATAAAAAAAAAGGCTGAACAAGAAACCATGTTTACCAATGTTTTTTAATACAGCTAACTATATGGCTACAGCAGGCTTTATCGGGATCCAAGTCTCCATTAAAATTGACCAGGGCTGAAACAATTAATATGATTAATCAGGATTAATCGATTATTCAAATAATTGTCAACTAATTTAGTAATCGACTAATCGTTAACTGAAGAATAGAGAGTCTAAAACATGCCTTTAGCTGACAGAGCAACTGACCAATTATACCAAAATTGTAAAAAGAAAATGCAAACATTTGGCACTTAAGATAAAAATCTTTTTCATCTGTCAACATGCCCTATCCAATACTCCATCAATCCATCCATCCATGTTGAGTCAGACTTATCGCTGCTGGGGTCGGGAGGTTTGCCGGTGTCTATCTCCAGCTCTCAATAAGCGAGATGCAGGGTACACCTTGGTAAAGTCGCCAGTCTATCGCTGGGCAACACAGAGACAAAGAGGACAAACAACCATTCACGTACCTAAGGAGAATTTAGAGAAACCAATTAACAGTCATGTTTTTGGAGGTGGGAGGAAGCTGGGGTACCCGGAGAAAACCCACACATGCAAAGGGAGAACATGCAAATTCTGCAAGAATACCCCGGGCCAGGAATCAAACCTGGACCCCTCCTGCTGCATCAGTGCTACCCACTTTTCCATTGGAAAAGTTTTAGCTCCACCTGGTTTAATTTCGCAATCTTCGCAATCTTCTTCCAGAACCTTTGGCTATTCGATTATTAATCAGGTAATCTAACAAATAATCGATAGACTAATCTATTTGCTAAATAATCATTAGCGGCAGCCCTAACATGGACCATAACTAAATGCATGTTAAAAATGTGACCAAATTTAATTCATGTTAAAATACAAATATGCCTCCAAGGAAAATCTTGACAAGTTAAATAAAGAAAGTAAAGTTTCTCATAAAAAAAAAAATTAAGGTTGAAACAGTATAAGATTAGGCCTTCTTTAAGCCATCTGCCTCAACCTTTACTTTGATAAGATATTTATTTTAAGAAATACAGTTAGTCACATGATTTGGTAAAGTGGGACCTAATCATAACACCAATGGCCACCACATAATACTGATGAGAACTATTTTTGCTGTTTTGCAGCATAGCTATGGCATTTAATTATTGACTAATAGTTATTCTATAAGTAATAACACAGCTATTAGTAAAGGTTGAAACTTCCTTCAAATGTCTACTATGCCCTTCCCTGCTAGTTTTATACTAAAGACGCCATTTATTCGAAGAAACCTCAGAGAAGGTCAGACAGTCAGAGTTAAGAGAGCATCATATTGTCTCACAGCTTTTAAAGTGCATTTTAGAAGCTTCAGTCCCATTCTGTAATCCTCCCTGATTGGAAGTAGGGCCTGATAACTCCATTCAGACTGCTCCGGCATGTCTCCATTTGGGCTGAGCTAAGCTGCTGGCCTACTCTACAGCTTAAGAAACAATGTAAGGGGTAGCTAGGAGCTCAGGTGGAAATGGAAGATAATGCAAACAGATGTAGGTTCAGAGCTAGAGGGCTGGGAGAAGGACAGATGTAGGAGAGCTGGTAAGACAAAGAACAACTCGGGCAAAGTTCCAGTTTTTCATCATCTCCTTCTCAGGACTGCAGTCGCTCCTCTCCCAGTTAAGGAAGATGAAAATAAGGATGGGGCATGAAAGGAATGGGGAAGGCACAGGAATATGTCTGCTCATCTCTGTGTTCTTCTTTTTATAGCAGGCAACTCACAGTTACTGCCGAAAAGCTTTTCCACATTATGAGGAGACTTTGAAAGAAGGAGACGAGCAGGAAATTAAAAGGCGGGGGTAGGGTTGTGTGATCACACACATTTAGACACAAAGGATGTTTTCACATTGTTTCATCATGTCAAACTGCAAAGCCTCGTAAACAAGGTCTGGTGTTGTTTGCTCTGTGAAAACTAAACTTAGGAACAACAATTATCTTAGCATGAAAAGAGAGAAAGTGAGATTATAATGCTGGTTATGTAAGAGATGAGACAATGCAAAATCCCTACAGGTGCAGAGCTAAAAACATAAAATCTATACTTGGTTGCTAATGAATTTCAGGACTGAGGGACATGAAACAGTTCATAAATACTTCAAATTCAGGTTCAAACTGAGCTGCTTTCTTCAAGCAGATGCGGGTATATACCATACTGCAGGGCCAGGGTCCCCCATGTTTTACAATTGGGGCTGTATGAACAAACCTTACAGTAAGTCAGTCCTATTAAGAATTTAATTTATTAGTTTAATTGAAGTCATATTATATTTACTTACCTTAGGTTTAGATTTCTATTCAGTGTTGTTAAAATTATGCTCAGCCCTCAGGGTAGATGGTAAAACAAAAGCATTAAATTAGATATTAGGTCAACAGACCTTAGGTTTAGGTTCCCTTCAGAACTTTTTTTTTTTTAACAGATAAACAACATTCACAATTTTTGGCAAAAATATATACGATCAAGTTAAAAACAAAAAAATCTTGAAAGTACATTATAGAATAGAACTTTGAATAACTTTAACGTTTAAAATGTTTAGTGGAAAGCATTTAAATGTCAACTAATTTCCAGTGTATACTTCTGGTATGTGGTATAGTGATGTCCCCTAGTAATGTGCCTCTTTTATCATCTACTGGTAAGACTTCAACATGGCCTTCATGATGACACAGTTTTAAAAAAATGATGCCAAGTAAAAGCCTGATATTAAGCATCCAAAAAGTTTACAATTAAGCAAAAGCCCTGTCATTAAAGCTCATGGTTTTAATTATGCTTTTGATCACAAACCATGCTCTAAAGTTGAACGTATATGGCATCAAATTACATAAATATTGCCTACAGGTCCTTTGCAACAAGTACGTTTCTCACAGTGACTACAAATTACTGGCTTGTCTTAATGCGCTCCATATTTTTTTCAAATAGCACATACAGACCATCACAAACAAGTTCAGCTTTACCTGGTTCTGTGGTGTCGTTGTCGTGGTCCAGAGCCTCCAACACCAGAGAAAACGATTTCTGGGGGGAAAAAAGATAAATAGAAATAAAAAATAAAGAAAAACACATGTAGCTGTTGGATATTCCTTTCCTATTTTTGCAGTTTTATTGTTTTTACATTGGATTTACATTAAAATATTGGGTCTGAATAAAAAGAAAACAAATATTATGCTCCTTTTAAACTGCAGGTTTTTTTTTCTGTGCAGTCATTTGCAATATACTATACATGAAACCACCATGGTAGTCCAATCTGAGTGGTCTGGACCTGAAGTGAAGTTAGCAATACAGGAGTAAACATGGATGCTGTTTGTGTGTGTGTCAGCAAAGGAATTTGATCCAACTCAAGTCTGACTGCCTCCATCAATAGTGTCTGGCCCGTTTGTTTTGTCTGTTGTTTATGTTTATTATATTTCATCTAGTTGCTTCCTGTCCTCTTTAGTGCAAACTTGTGATCTGTGTCCTGAAATTTAAGGGAAATGCAGCAGTACTGTTTAGACGAAGTAGCATCAAAAAAACTGGAACACATATGAAATGCATAACTAAGTATGAGCCATAAGTGACTCGATTAAATGGGCTGGGTCTGATTTGAAGAACAAAATCTTAATATTGAAATGGTGAGATAGCCAGAGCCTACTGTTTGAATATGTGGTTAGGTGAGTCCAATAATTAATATCTAACAGTAGGAGGTTGCTCATAAACATGTTGTTAGCAATGGGATATAACCTGTCATCCTTGAAAGAGTCGACTTGCGAAGTGTCGATTATGTGATCTAGTTCTTTAATATAGGGTTTCATTTACAGAGTAACTATTTGGAATTTATTCATCCCTTTTACACTGTATTCCAAAACTAGTGCACACTCCTTAGTTTACCCTGTTTTTATTGTGATTGTGTTTAATTTAATTCTGTTTGGGTTTTGCAGTTGCTCCAGTCCATTGGCTTAGGAACCAGCAGGTGGCCAAGGGGCTGAG